GAGACAGAGGCTTCATTGCACTTAAGAGGGCCAAATGAGGCTGGCTGAATCTATGCACACTCACATATATGCACACTGAATCAATCTGTCACCAAATCCTACCACTAAGGGCCATTACTGTCCCAGCCAGCTGACAGATGGGTTCCTACCCACACATAGAGATCATATACACACACACAGAGAGAGTATTTGGGGAACACTCGTGCGCCTTAGACTAAAAATGACTAGAATTACGTCAAACGAGTTTGCATGGTGTTGATTATATTAACCTGACTGCAGTATATGATTCACCTGGTCAGCTTTCATTGGTCAGCCCCAAAGGACATCTGACTGACATGTAAAGCAACCAATTAGAGTTTATTTGCTCAGCGTCATGTTTAGAAGTGTGAACATGACTGGCATTTAAAAGTCTTGGATGTATTAAAAAGGGTCTATGCCATAAACTGCACAGATGATGAGCTGAAACTCCTGAAGCGTGTCCAGTTTTGTGTGCCTTATGGATCAGACATTCAGCCAGTGATTCTGTGGGAATTATATCAAAGCTTTTGTGGTTAGACTTAATGAACTTCTTGGTTTTGCTTCATTAAAGGGGTAATCCACCCAGATATGTGAGCCTAGACCACAAGTGTAGTCATAAGTGAACATTTCTGAAAGCACACCTGTAGAAAAACAGTAATTTTCTGGCGCCCCTGCGTAAAAAAAAGAAGAAAAAAAACTGTCAGAATAAAAAATATAGATAATCTGTAAAAAAAAAAAAAAAACTGTAATTTCTTGTTCCATTATTAAAAGTTATTACAGATTTTAGGTGTAATTGTACGGGTTATTATTGCAGGATATTAATGTAATTATACAAATTAATGTATATAATTATGCATGAAATCTCTAAATATTCAATAAAATTTTCCAGTTTAAACATGCCTTTAAAACTGAAAAAAAAAAAAATGATTGAAAAAAAAGCTTAGGTACAAATAATTGCTGTTGTCATAAAACACTGTAAATATAACTATAAACTATAATATAGTTTAACAAATATTTTAAGGATATGTTGGTTTAATTCCAAATCAATTTTCTTGGGAAAATACAAAACTGCTATCCATCTAATTTTTTATTTCTTTTTCACAAATAACACATTTGGTCATCGTTTAACAACAAAAACAAGGTTGGTGTCATGTGAGGACGGCTGCACAACAAAGTTGAGAATCAAATAGCAGTTTATTAACAGAATCATCATGCAATTAAAAGTTGAAACAGGAACAAACAGGTGCACAGATAATTCCAAGCAAACAAAATAACAAAGTAAAGGGGTCAAACACAGCAAGGGAAGAGAAAACCGCATCGTAATGCTCACTAAACAGTTTAAGACTCATAAAACCATGTGTCTGTGGGTGTGCTGAGTTTGTAGTCCTTGAAATCAGTCCATAACGATCTTCTGAATGTGTGTTTTATCAGTTAGAATTAGGAACCAAGGTGTGCGAGGTGCATGCTGGGAATTGTAGTTCGTTAAAGTAACGTGTGTAGTTTTCAAGTTATCCGCAGCCGCTAGATCACTGGTGATCATCACAGTTCGCATAACAACATTGTTAGAGTAGTAAAATAAACATTTCATAGTTTACAGCACATGCATTATATGCAGCCTACAATAGGCTATTATTTGACTTTATTAACCTCACAATAATTTTCATGTTTACTATCTTTATCAAAAACAATTTGACTGAATTTTGGTTTCACTATTTTCACAGGCATAATCTGTAAAATACCCTTAAAATTACGTGTTACTCTCTAAAAATACATAAAAAATTTCCTTTAAAAAGCAAAAAAAATAACATAACACCAAATTACAAGCAATAGCTGTAAATTTAATGTTAGAATTTTTATTACAGAACACAGCTGTGTGTGACCCTTGCTTTGTTCAGTTGTTTACGTAGTTTGCCACCTGGACCAATCTCTTAGCATATGACCTGACTACGCAGTTTGCCTTACCTGTATGTACCCAATTGCTCCAGTGCCTGACCATTGCCTGCCTGACTGTTTCTTAATGAAACCTGCACATGGATTCTCACTCTTGTCCAGCATCCCTCACATGACAATATCAAAGTTCTCATCAAATCCTGCCCCTCATGTTGTACCAAACCTGCAAGAACAAATATGTAAAACGTGTGAACACAATAATTGATTTTGTATTTTATTTATTTATTTATTTATTTATTTATTTATTTATTTTATAAACCCAACTGACTTTCTTATAATAGACTGAAATTACTATACAGTAAGTAATCCAATGTGCGATATTACTCAGAGTAAATTAGGTTACTGTAGGTTTTAAATGACTTTTGAGGTATAATAAGCAAGAATGTGGATACAATTTCACAGATAATTTGGCTAGATCATTTGATGATAAATATTTGATATGGAAGTGAATTCATATCTCAGTCAATTTTTTTATCTTTTATTTATTCATTGTAAAACACACTACAAGAATTATACAAAAAGGACAATATAAACATGTAACAATAAGCAAATGCACTGAAGAGTATTTTGAGCAAACAAAAATATACAAAATAAAACATAAATTAATTAATTAATAAAAAAAAACATTAGTGCAATCTTAAATAAAGAAAATAATAGTCTACAATGTGCTGACCAGAACTAGTATCCAGTACCAAGCTGAAGCTGGGAGTGGGGGGTGGGGACTCAGAAGGAGCAGGGTGAAGCTGAAGAGTTTGGACATGTTTGCGAAGGGGTTCCCACAGTTTAATGAAAATAGTGCTAGATCGGTGAAGAGAGAATTTTCTCTAATTTTGTCTACTTTTTTTCTTAAAGTCTTTGTTTAACGAATCTGACCTTTTTCAAACAAATCTGATTGTACACCGCACAATTCAAGTATTTTTAATTGAGTTAAAAAGGTTAAACTATGTAATATAAACATTTTCAGGAAATTGAAAGAATTCACTATTAACTCTTTTTATTCTTTATTATATTATTTTAATTATTTAGCATGGTTTGAGAATCTAAAAAAAATAACAACTGAGAGATATATCAGAATTGCAAAAATAAGATTAGAATTGAAATATATAAATTCTGAGTAAAATAAACTAAATTCTGCGCCAAAATGCAGAACTGGAAGGTGTTAACTCACAACTGCAAGTTTAGAAATAAATTAAATTACAATACTCTGTAACAATTACTGCAATTTCTTAATGTTGTCTCAACACAAATCGATTAAATTAGTTAAATTGTTTTTTCAAATTTAAGTGAATTCAACATTAAACAATTAAATTGTCCCAAAAATATATAAATGTTCATAATTACCTTCACTGTTTTGTTTATTTGTTTACAAAGAATACAAAAACGTTTAGTAATTAGTTGTTAAATATAGGGAAAAAGTCTTCATCTCACCTCACTGCTGTCTTAGAGAAAGAGTTCAGCAAGAGAAGCCATTAGCCTTTCCTACAGGAATCAGATGGCGGAAACAGGTTTCATGAGCTCTTATTAATTCTGCTGCCCTGTTTCACCTGATTTGAAGATTGTCGTGGACTTCAGCACAAACCTCATCCAAGCACTCAAAAGGCAGATAACCCAGGTGCATCCACTTACACTGAAAACACAGCTCTCCAACAGAAGAGCCGCATGCAATTTCCGCAACAATTTATGTAGACTTCAATTAGCGCTCCATGAGTACTCTCCAATCCTTCTTGATTGTTTACACTCATGTTGGCAAAGTTCACAATGTTAAATAAATAGATGATACAGAGTTCGGTGGTGGAGTGAAAACAGCTGACAGAGTGTATTTAGAGGAAACGATGTTAAAAAAAAATGTGAGCTGCAAGCCATTAGCCTGCTGTACTCTACGCTGAAAACAGGATGCAGAAAAATGCCAAAGCTGATCTGTTTCTCACTAAACAACACAACACAAGGTATTAAAATCCATCTCCAGAGATTCAATATCAAAGACTGCATGGAGATTGCATTTGCGGTGTAAACACAAATCCATCCTAATGTAAAAACATCACATTTGCGAGCGGGGTGTGAGTTTTAATGTAAAAAAACTGCCTGATATAAATGATTACAAGCGTTTACCGCAGATGTATGTTTCTGTAGCATCATGTCTAAATGTCAGTCTGTCTCTGTTTATCTCTGTAAATGGCTGAATGCATTTGCAGATAATGCTAGATAAATGTTATTACAAATAGATACACTGTAAAACAGTCAACTTCAAAGAAATGAAACCCTACAATCAAATGAAATGAGTGTAGTTAACTTAAAATTTACAATTAGTAGACATTTTAGCCTACCCAATTCACCTATACCACATGTCTTTGGACTGTGGGGGAAACCGGAGCACCCGGAGGAATCCCACGCAAATGCAGGGAGAACATGCAAACTCCACACAGAAATGCTTACCGACCCAGCCAAGGCTCAAACCAGCAACCTTCTTGCTGTGAGGTGACAGCACTACCTACTGCGCCCCTGCTTCGCCTTTACTGAAAGTTAATTCTACTCATTTGAAGAGAGTTTTGAACTCAGTGTTTAAGGTAATGAGTTAATTAAATAGCACATTACTTTAACTTCAATGGAGTAAGTATTCATGTAGATTAGTTTGTTTAACTCAAATGGTTTGTTGCAATTGGTTTCCTCAAATGGTTTGAGTTGCCTTATTGGTTTTTACAGTACTCGGTTGATTTGAGTTCTCTTCGTTTATTGGGTTTTACTGTGCTCAAATAGCTTCTTTGCTCAAATGAAGTTCACAGTACTCATTAGGATTATTGTTTTAACTCAAATGGTTTGTTGCAATCGATTTTCCTCAAATGGTTTGAGTGACAATGTTTTTTTTTAGTTAAAAACATATAAAAAAAATTAATTATCAGCATTTTTATTTAATTTCTGGAATTTTAATTCATGATCCAGATACCTTGAACAATCTACTGTAAGGCACATAGATGTAAAGTTTTTAAAAGAAGTTATAAATTGACCTGAAATGTTTGTTGTGTGTCTCTCCTCAGCACTCATGCACGCTGCAGTCTTCGGTAACGTGACGGCCATTATCCAGCGGATGTACTCGCGCCGCTCACTCTATCACACTCGAACCAAAGACCTCAAAGACTTCATCCGTGTGCATCGACTGCCCAAAGCCCTTGCGCAGCGCATGTTGGAGTGCTTTCAGACCACATGGTCCGTCAACAATGGCATTGATGTCAGCGAGGTATGACCTTAATGTTAATACTTAATAATGTTTTTCATAATTGGTGTGCAGGAAAGACTCAGTTGGATAATATGTTAGCAGTATGAGAGCTGCTCTTCTTAACTAATCTTTGAACTTGAGCAGATTCTTGACATGATTTATGAAAATGTTCACAATATGTTTTTTGTGTTTTCTTATTTAATTAATGGTCAGTGAAAAAGGTCAGACTGTTTACAAGTTGTTAAATTTTAAATTATTTAGCATTATTTTTGTTTTTTGAAGTTGTACATTTATATATATAAGTAAACATTAAATCAGGGGTGCCAACACTTTTTCGTATGAAGAGCCAAAAACCAAATATCATTGAGAGCCATGGGCCAAAGATAAACATACCAAACTATTTGACATTGAAGTTGCCATGGATCATTTCTTAATGTATTTAATAATATTTTAAAACAAATAGAAAGCAACACATTGAATCTTACTGCAGTTAGAACACAAACAGTCACATTTATTAAGGCAGTGGAGTTCAATGCTGAATAGTCAAGCAGAGTCTGCCTTAGCTTTGAATCACTCACCAAAAGGTTGATGTTAAATGACATTTCTGGACTTTGAATTCTTTCGATAATATTAAATAAATAAAAATAAATAAATAAAATAAATCTATCTATCTATCTTCACCTGCTTGGTGAAATAGCAACACAATGTTGTGTTCTTATGTGAATACATCTTATGTTAAATTTTGATCACTTATTCAGAATTTAGTTGTAAAGCATGAAGCATTATTTAAAACCCCAATAACTTGTCTTCTGTGGCACAATAAAACAATAATATCCCTGAGCGCAATAAGGATCTTACGGGAATCTTGATGAGCATTTTTTTTTATACATTCATATTAAAAAAACTCAATTTCTTTATGTGAATATTGCTCAAATTAATAGGAATGCTTAATCTCCCATTAACCTGTAAACTTTATTGTGCTCATGGTATTATATTTTATGGTTTTTTACAATACGAGGTCATGAATATGTATCTGTGGTAAAGAAAACTGAAACAAACTATAATTATTAACAGCATCTAAATGCAAAATACTGACACACAGACAACATTTAAAATGCGAATTATACAAATGCAATCACATGTTGTGATTGCAAATGTTTATCATATTTAAATAGCACAAAGTTTTAAGAAATGTATATTATTAGGTTTAGAGATAATATTGTGATTCATGTTTAAGCTAAGAGGTAAAAGATTGTGATTGCAAATGTCTGTCATATTTAAATTGCTCATATTTTTTTAGAAATGTATATGTTTAGGCTTAGATGTAGGCACTGGATTATCGACTTAATTTTTTTTTTATGCTGTCTTTAAAAAATTTGTTAAGTTTATTGTAAAATGGCTAACAGGTCCAAAAATCTAAATAATTTATGAGCTTTTTTGAAGTGATAAAAGTACAACTATGCACGTTTTTTGCTGTAGATGCATGGATGGTAAGTTTTGAATGTTCAATGCATGAATGGTAAGTTTTGAATGTGTAATACGTCCAAACTTTGTTTCAGCACCAATCAAAACATACAAAACTGTCAATTTTGTAGCCATAAATGTTTCATACTAAAATACTTACGAATAAACAAAGACATCAGGCTGCATTTTTAGCTCATCTACGCAACAGTTGGTTCTCATTACTGGTCTCAACATCACTGGTGTCATTTGATGCATCTGTCTAAGATTAGAGTGTGCTTTTCTATTCCTGTTTAGCTTCACCGTCTCTCCTTTTCTTTCACAATCCCTCATCTCTTTTATCATTTGATTTACTTTCTGCCTTCCACCCCCATCTCATTCACTATCCCATCCGTATCTCTGTTCTGCTCATAAACAAGAGATTCCATCTTACACTCACAATGTATTTAATGAGCTCAATTCAAAACACTCGTTGCGTAACTCGTAGCTCATAACTTACTCTCTCCTTCTGATTTGATATCCAATATCATCTCCAATTAAAGTTCAAGTAGAAGACTGATCTGCGGTTTCGTTGCCGCAGTCTCCTTGACGATCAGCCGTGAATCAAAAGTTTGTGATTCTTTTCAAGGTTGAGAAGTACGAGTACTTGAAATAAAATGCCTCTTTGTCCTTTTGCAGCTTCTGAAGGACTTTCCAGATGAACTGCGGGCCGACATCGCCATGCACCTGAATAAAGAGCTGCTGCAGCTGCCTCTGTTTGAATCGGCCAGTCGAGGGTGCCTGCGATCGCTCTCTCTCATTATCAAAACCTCTTTCTGCGCTCCAGGAGAGTTCCTCATCCGCCAGGGTGACGCTCTGCAGGCCATATACTTTGTCTGCTCGGGCTCCATGGAAGTGCTCAAGGACAACACTGTGCTGGCTATACTGGGTAAGATCATACTCACCATGCCTAATATCCGATAGCCAGAAAGTGATTCATTTTTTTATAAATTGTTAAAATTTTGGTATTTGTGATGCAGCAAGCCCAGAGATTGTTGATTGAATTGTAGATGAATTAAAAGTGATCATAAAAAAATAATTTATCAACTGAGTGGCGGCTTGGACCCGGAAACAAGTCATCACTTACAAGGCGGATTAATACGATAATACTATATTTTTTGAGCACTGCTGGGTAGTGTTTGTCATTAGAAAATATACATTTTAAAAGGGTCAACATCATCATCATCTTACACTTTTTTATTATTTATTATGTCTGGCACAGTGGCAGTAAGTTATTTATTATTTATGGATTCTATCTATCTCCATTTTTGGCAACACTTTAGAATAGGAGTTCATTAGTTTATGCATTCACTAATGAATAATCTTGTATAGTATTTATTAATTGTAGTTCAACATTTACTAATGCGTTATTAAAATCCGGAGTTGTGTTTGTTAACATTTGTTAATGCACAGCAAGTTACATTAATTATTATTAACTTAAATAACCTTATACCATAAAATAGATGAAAAAATACTGTAATAATAAATGTGTTTGTTCATGTTAGTTAATTAACTAAACTAATTGACCAATATTAAAAAGTGTTACCCCGTTTTTTCTTTGTTTCAAAGCCATTTAGCTTTTTGTATATGATATCTGAGATTATAAAAAGTTCAGATGCAAAAACCTCTAAGTGCTATCTGAAATTTTGGAAAAAAATTTCAGACCCCTTTGTTTATGTTATTTTACAATAAAGATTATGAAAATTAATAAATTATGTTAATTAAACATACACTCTGGAGCCTGATGAAAAAGTAAATTTTAGAAGAAAATTTCAGATGGCATTTAGAGGTTTTTGCATCTGAACTCTTCATATATACTTCTTTTTATTTACTACTACAGTATGGTAGTGCAGGGGTACAACCTAAAACGTTTTGACTTTCTAAGTCTGTGTGAGTTCACATGTGTCAGGGTTATACTGTTTGGAGAAACAAGAGCAACGCAGAGTTTAACTTAAGCAGTCTTTATTTAAATAGCACTGAAAAATACATCAGGAAAGACAGGGGAAAACACAAAGTAAAGTATACCTGATAGAGACACAACGGCAAGCACAAGATGTAAATACAAGCAGAAATCAGGTAAATCAGGGAGGGACCAGGTGAAATTAATAACTAATTAACATGGGGGAGAAACTGTCATGGAGCAGATGGGAAGGGTAAACACAGCAAAAGCATAAATGGAACAAAGAGACAACATAGGGTTCAGAGTACAGAATTTAGTTCCCAATTTATTCATTCATTTGATTTAGTAATATAGTAATCTGGCCAACATAGGCAGCAAAAGCTAACAAAACATTTAAAACAGACACAAATCGAAACTTTATTCTAAAAAATTGAATCACATATCAGAAGTATAGTTTATCAAAAAAGAAAAATGTAACTTAAACTCAATTTATAACAGAAGCACAGAAAATTGTACAATGTTTTGTAAACAGTTCCATGTCTGCATTGCATTACATTCAAAACAATTTTTTTCCTCAAATAAAATACCCAAGTGCTTACATCTTATTTTATTTTTGCATCCTGGGATGTAATTAATTCATATGTTTTAGTAAATCTTTGGAGTTTGATCATTTTTTAAACCAGCTTAAGTTGCTTAATTTCACATTAGTCTGTAAAGTGTATATTTTTTCCTTATTTACCTCTAAAACATTGGAAGTGAATTGTGACAACATGCCCCATAGATACCGAAACTAAGTCTTGCTTTTGTTTGTGACCCGCTCCCTGCTACCCATTAAAAAGCCCCAAATACTGATATCACACTACATGTGTGTAGACAAAGAAACGCAGACAAACATCTAATTAATACAATATTAAACATAAATTCAATACTCATTCCTGTATAGCTGCTGTGAGGGTCCTGATAAGTGAAGCAATTTATATGTGAATGTAGCATACATCCAAAAGACTGCGCTCAATGACAGTATAGTGTCCCCTTCTCTATACAGGGATATTAGGACACACCCAAACTGTAGGATGAGTACCCCCTACTGGCCTCACTAACACCACTTCCAACAGCAACTTAGTTTTCCCATGTGGTCTCCCATCCAGGTACTAACCAGGCTCAGCCCTGCTTAGCTTCACTGAGTAACTGGTCTTGTGCTGCAGGATGATACGGCTGTCACATCAGAGCTGTAATGTAATGTAATGTAATGCGTATTTATATAGAGCATTTATTGTGTATGGCCATACACCCAAAGCGCTTCACAATCATGAGGGGGGGGGGTCTCTTCACACCACCACCAGTGTGCAGCATCCACTTGGATGATGCGACGGCAGCCACAGGACAACGGCGCCAGTGTGCTCACCATTGGAAAGACAGTGATAGAGCCAATTCGGTGGAAGGGGATGATTGGGGGGCCATGATCATAAGGGCCGATAGAAGGACTTTGGCCAGGACACCAGGGTTACAACCCTGCTCTTTCACGAGAAGTGCCATGGGATTTTTAATGACCATAGATAGTCAGAACCTCGGTTTAACGTCTTATCCGAAAGACGACGCCCACTGACAGTATAGTGTCCCCTTCACTTTTACTTGGGCATTAGGACTCACACAGACCACAGGTTGAGCGCCCCCTGCTGGCCTCACTAACACTACTTCCAACAGCAACCTAGTGTTCCCTAGTGGTCTCCCATCCAGGTACTAACCAGGCTCAGCCCTGCTTAGCTTCAGTGAGTAACCGGTCTTGGGCTGCAGGGTGATATGACTGATACTCTTGATACTCTTCTCATGGGCATCAATGGAAAGTTTGCAGATCAGTTCAGAAATCTCAACAACAAAGAATCTTAAATGATGTACATTAATATTACCATTACTTGACAGTGAAAATCGAGAGTCTCCATTGAATACAAATCCATCACTTAGATTAAAAACAAATCAAAAGTTTTGAGAGATTTGTTCTCAAGAAAAGTGTCGGACAGGACTATATTGTATCGTTGTGCTTTGCTGTTGGTTAATTTTAAATGATTTTGAACCGACTGAATGATCAGACTGTCTCCTTCTTCATAAACGCACTGTTGCAAAAGGGAAAGACAGCTGTTTGAACAAAGTTTATATCACATGAATTTTACTAAAAGAATAATTGCACAGATCATTTGTAGGAAACTGCAAAATCTGTATAATTAATTGTTATTTTGACTTCAACAGCATCCAGTCTGACCTCTGCAGTCTTACAAACAGATTGCAATTCCATTTGCTGCCTCTGGTGGTGATAAATTCTAAAACAACAAAACAAAACAATTAGAAGTGTCATTTATAAGACTACAACTGTAGTGCAAACGCTTGTCAATCATGCTTACTTATTCAGTGGCTCCTATATTATAATTTCACAGCAATTTCAAAGTCCATTTAAATTCCTCCTATCTGTCATTATTAATTGAGCTTCCTCTGTGAGATTGAGACAGGCCAATACAATAAAAACTGCCCACAGATGCACACACACCATCCATTAATATCATTGTATTACTTATGACACAACTCAGACATTGTAAATGAGCTAAATAATGACTCTTTTGGAGCACCTTGACACACACACACAGAGAGAGACACAGACACACCTCATCCTCCCACTGTCTCCGGTTCTTATTGTTTCGAGGGAGGATTCCCATATAATTTTCAAGTCTATTGAACAGAAACTCTCCCCCTCCCCCTTTACACATGCACATCGGCTCATTGGTTTTATTCTCTCATTAATTGTCTTCCTTTGTTATGCATATTAATGCATATATTATCTGCAAGATTCAGCTACTGTTGTTGATGAGGTTACGAATGGATTCCCTAATGTGCTTCCCAAACTCATAACATCCCAAAACACTCAAAACCAGTTCCAAAACCTTGTGATTTGCCTGTCCAGCAGCCTCCTTCTGAAGTTACGGACACTTTCACTGTAATTCAGCTCATTTTTACAAGTGAAACACAGCCATTTCTATAGGGATTAAGTGAAGATTTGGGATCAGAGTGAAAATGTTTCCCCATACAGATTTAGCTCATATTTAAATCTGCTGCATTTAGCAACGGAAAGTCGCTTCGTTTCAATGTGACTTCTGTTTTAAGTATTGCTACATAATTGACAATATACTCTTTTAAATGGACAGTTGTTAATATTTTGGTAATCTGTCTGACCAATAAAAAACGTCATTAAAATCTAACATTTAATTGACGAGATATAAAAGAAGAGTAGTTGCCCCAAAAATGTTAATTTAGCTTCATAAAATGGGTATTTTTAATTTGCATGCATATGCTTTTGACCCTGAGAGTGCTGGTAGCGCTTGACTTGCATTTTATTAATCACCAGTGTTCACGGTTTCAGCTAAAAATATTCTTAAGATAAAAATTCATTTACATCTTCAATGGCATGGGGGTAAGTAAATTAGTAAATCATCATTTGCAAGTAAACTGAACCTTTAACTGCACGTAAATAACTACTGTATATGCAACTTAATAACATGTCTGTCAGACAAAACAACACAAGAGATTTGGCTCACATTTGGCACCTGTAGTTTAACATTTGCAGGATGCTAATTATAAAACAATACTTTAGTATAGAGCTTAAAAATTACACTGAATTTGGGTAATGTTGTCCATTTTAGTTTTGGTAAGCATAAGTCAATGCTTAAGATTTTAGTATTACGATAAATGTTTGTATATTCTGCATTTTTCTTCACATGTTCAATACCTTGAACATTTTATATTCCCGAATGCTAAATTAGGGCAGCAGTTGTCAATACTGCATGGTCCTTGTGACCCCCTGCTCTGCACATTTTGCATTTCTCACTTGTTTAACACATTGATCTAGCTAACCAGCTTGTTAAAAAGAACTCCATAAAGGAGCTCTATTTTGGTCAACAAGTTCCCTATATACTTTACCCCTTGCAAATGGAAAACAAGCTTAA